TTTTCTTTCCCTCTACCCTCTTTTCTAAAAACATATATTGCCTACATTTCAATACATTTATTTATTTTGTTATAGTGAGTATATATAATATCAGTTACATGTGTTACCATTACATAGTCTTTCTTTTTCCCATCTTCATGAAAAATATTAGCAGCCGGGCCTCCCCGGTGGCGCAGCGGTTGAGCGCTGGGTTGCGAAGCTGCCCGCGGCCTCTGCGGCGCCGGTTCGATCCCCGGCTGTTCCCCGGCCACCAGAGGAGGGTCCCACATGGCGCGCAGACCTCTCCTGCCGCCCGCTGCTCCCCTCAGCAGTGTACTTCGGTCCTTCTGCCTGCTCTGCTCCCTGCTCTGGCTCTGGTGAATTCTCTCACCCTCCCGCGCTTCTGACTGTACCCAGTGCATGTATAAACCAAAAACAAACAAACAAATAATAAATAAATAAATAAGACATGCCTCTAGAAAATTTAAAAAAAAAAAAAATATTAGCAGCCAAGAAATAAACCACCACTCATAAGTCTGATGTTAAACAAAATTCGTCTGTATTCTTCTGCCCACTCTTGATAAGTAAGTGAGCAGTACAGAACTTCTATTAACTCACACCCACCACTAAATCAAAGATGAACTGTAAATAAAATGTAGATGTCAAATATGTGATGGCTTTGTTTTGCTTTACCCCACCATCACCAACCATCACCATCACCAATGAGATTCGAAAATAAACCTACCACCATGTTGCTTATAACCTTTACTAAAACTGTAGGCAATTTTCAAATAATGAACAGCTTGATTAACAGATCAGCTACAACACAAAAATCTGTTTTCATAATTCATTGTACAATTGCCATTCTTTTCCTGTCTTTTAACTTTATATCATTTTACCATATGTCACTTTGTTGCCCAAGGTTTTACTTCATTTATTTCACCATTTACTATTTTATGTACAATGTCTTCATGTTGTGTCATTTCTTGTCATCTTATTTTATCTTCCTTTGTCATGGATGGTGACTTCACTTGTCACTTTACTGCATTTTTAGGAAGTGAGATCAGGAATGCTATGAAATAGATTTTTCTCCTGAGCTCTCTAACACTCTTGCTGGGCTCTTCACAGCTTGTAACCTTTCAGCCTCTGCGTGTGGAAACAGTATGTCATGAAGGAGGTCATTATCAATGAGAAAATAATTATGAGCACTAGTATTAAAGCCACTGTGGAGGAGACAGGAGCACTGGTTGCATTCAACTTGTTGATGGGCAATATTACTGGAAGAAATGCCAACAATGAAAAAGTTTCTTTTGTGCATACCTGGCTTAACGAAGCCTGAAGAAGAGTGGGCTTGGATTCTTTCTTTGGGAAACAGCAACAATTCCCAGCAGACCTCCCTCAGGAGTGGTTCATATCTCACTGAGCAAGGTGCTGGATGATGCCTGTTTTGAGGATGCAGGGCTGTGTGTGGGAAGAGGAGGGCATTCCTGCAGCAAGCGAAACTCACGCTTGGTGCTGTTTCCCTCAGCTGCCATGGCTTTCCTTTTAAATTAATTTAGTTGGGGGCCTCCTGGGTGGTACAGGAGTTCAAGACAGTGCTATCAAGCTATCACCAGCCACTGTGGCATGAGTTTGATTCCCGGCCAGGCAGCTAACCCACATGGCGTAGTGGACCTCTCCTGTCTCACCCACTGCTCCCCTCAGCAGTGAATTTCAGTAGATCCACCTGTTCTGCTCCCCACTCTCTCTAGTGAATCCTCTCACCCCCTGCACCTCTGGCTTACACCCCAGTTCTTATATGTATATATAAATAAGTCTTTATAAAATAAATTAATTTAGTTAAGTTTTATTAAAAAGAAGTTGAAATGTGTACAAATTCACCTTTTGGGGTAATTGCTGATGTCTCCTTGACATTTTACCTTGAATAAAATTCTTTATATATATATATATATATATATATACACACAATCTCACTTAATCCTCATAAATATTCTTGAAGTGAATATTATCCCTATTGTACAGATGAGAAAGCTGAGGACAAGAGATCTTTTTTTTTTTTTAATTTTTTTTTTTTATTTATTTATACAAGCACTGGGTACAGTCAGAAGCGTGGGAGGGTGAGAGAATTCACCAGAGTCAGAGCGGAGAGCAGAACAGGCAGATGGATGAGGGGAGCAGCGGGCGCGGAGGAGAGGACTGCGCCCCATGTGGGACCCTCGCCGGTGGCCGAGGATTGAACCAGCGCTGCAGAGGCTGCGGGCAGCTTCGCAGCCCAGCACTCAACCGCTGCGCCACCCAGGGAGGCCCCAGGACAAGAGATCTTTGATGATGTATTATCCTAGCTAGTGAGTGGCAGAGATAGAATTAAATAGAGGCATTCTGGTGACTTCGTGACCTCTGAAAGAAATGACAGGGTTTTGTGTCATGTGGGAGAATAAAACACGTTCTTGCAATTTCTAGCCTGGGATGTTAAGTGGTGGCTGTTAAAAAGAGCCTATTTTGGAGGAAGTTAATAAATTTTGTTTGCAATATGTTTTGCAGAGCATGCTGGTGGAGATGTCCAACAGACAATTGGAACGGGGGAGAGGAGCTGGGTTGAGAACTCACAAAAATGGCAGGCAGCTACTTGATACCTAATAATACATGTGACTAGTGTCTTATAAACTTCCAAAGCCATGCCCTGACTTACCCATCTACTCACATACCTATGCTTACCACCTCTTCTTCCCTTATGCTGAGACTTGTAAGAGGACTGAATATCAGGGAAAAACAAAAAGAAAACTGTGACAGCACAAAAGACTGACTAGCTTGGTGTGGTCATCCCGAAGAAACTAAAACTGTTTCTTATAGGCTGAGAATTTCACCCATTCAATTAATTGCTCATGCAACAAATGTTACCCAAGCATTTATTATGTGTCCAGTGTTAGGAGAATGATGTTGAAAAAAATAGACATATTCCCTGCATGTATGGAGCTCAAGGTCTAGTGGGGAAACAGGCATTGATCAATAAACGACAAAAATAATGGAATAATTATAAACTTTCATTGAAGGAAATACCATGTTGTGAGAGGAACTTATATGTAATTGGGTATCCCAGACTAAGTCCAAGGATCATGCAATGTTTTCCCTAGGAAATAAATTCTGGAGATTTTTTTCCCTCTTTACCTCTTCCATGTACCCCTCCCCCAAATCATACCATTAAATTGCTTTTTTTGTTTTTGTTTTTTCATACCATTAAATTTCACAGGGAAAGAGCATATAAACTACATGCATTTCCATATGCATTTGTAAACCTTCCAAAATGATTCACGTTGACATTTCCATGCTGCTAGTCAACAATATCCTTGCATTGATATTATCTGACCCCAATCTTGTGAGGCAGGCAGGCAGGAATGACTCCATTTATTGATTCAAGGATTAAAGCCTCAGAGTGGTTAGATGACTTCCCTAAAATCACCTGAGAGTGGACCTGGGGTGTGTCTTAAAACATCTAGGTTGTATTATTCTTATAATATTCATTCCTTCATTTACTCATTCACCCATGAAATGTGTTGATCACCTAAAGGTGAGGCTACTGATTGAACTATCAAGAGCCATTTAAGGAGTTTAAGAAGGAAAGCAGCACAATACAATTCAGTTGGATGGTCTTCTGGAAGAGAGGACAGATAGTGGTGATTTTCAAAGTACAGTTGGGGACCACCTACCAATCTCTGGGGTTGGGGTTCAGGAATCTTACCATCAGGCAGGCTAGAAATTCTTTTCTGATTCTTTTTTTTTTCTTTTCTTATTCTAACACAATAAAGACAGAAACAGAATGTGCTGCAACCAGTTAATGCGATTGAGGTGGTAGCTGTGGTAAGTGAGTGAGAGGTAATGAGTTACAGAGACAAAAGGATGCACTTGAGAGGCATTTAGATCTTGTGGACAGGACTTCCCACCCTTCCTGGCTGAGGTTCCCGAAGTGGAGCTGGGATTCCTACCTGGGTCCTCTGGCTCCAGAGCCTGTGCACCTCACCACACATGACCATTTATAGCCACATCTTGGTTTTATACTTATTTCTCTTAATACTTGTTTGCCAGCCCCCAGATGATCTCAAACTGACTCAAGCTTTGTGTACCTCCCTCACTTCCACAAAACTTAGGTGGGAAATAAGGACAGACAAGTAAGACCTTAAAATATTTATTTCTTTGTGGCTGTGGACATAGGCAAGGAAAAAGTAGACTATTTAGACAAGCGCAGACTGGTGGAAGAGATGCATTGGGATCTCACCCTGGGTAAACCCTAGGGTGTCTTCCAGATACCTGAAAGCAATAATCCCAAACCCAGAAGGTGACCCCATTTCTTTCCCAAGAATTATTACTGGGTGACTGATTGGAGCAGTTCAGGAATTCAGGAAGCTGTAAAGAAACCACAACAGTCACAACCATCACCTCCCCAAACATCAACATCAACAAACTCAACAGTAAAATTCATTAATACTCATCTCCCTTCCACCAACAACCACAGCAGCTGGCGGCAGATGAGCATAAGGGGAGGCTTTTCTGTACCCTTTGCCCAGTCTAGTTCATGCTCATCCCAGGCCTGGGTTTTTTCGGGATTGCAGGGAAGCAGGAAACTGAAGTCACTCCCTCTGGTTGCCACCAGAGGCTGAGGACACCACTTTTTCCTCATCGCCATTTGGTCATGATTAAAGCAACTGAGGTAAAGGCTATGGTTAGCAGTGCCAGGGGCACGATGACTTGTCCGGCACCTGGCAAGTCGGGAGTGGCTGAGCCAAGCAGGTGAAAGTCTAAGCGTAGCCTTTCGGGAGGAAAAAGAAGAGGAAGTGGGCGTGGCGAGCGCCTACAAGGGCACTTGGGGCGGGGCGTGCGAGGCTCAGGGGCGGGGCAGGGGCGAATATTGGTCCAGATTGGATGAACGCCCCCCGCGGGGAGGGGGCTGCGAGCTATCCCGGCCGCGGGCTTCACGGTTCTGCCCTATATACTGCAGGGCGGCGTCTGTGAAGCTGCCAGGACTGCAGCCCACGTGCCTGAACCTAACTGTCCTCCCGCAGCCCGGGAGTGCCTTTGGCCCTGGGTCTATTCGGTCCTGCTCCAAGCTTCGCTCCATCCTTAGGTTCCTTAACCTCTCGCCAAATTCCCCAAGCTTGCGACCTCGACCTTTGCAGGGCGAAATGGCCACAGCCAGGAATTTGTCAGAGGAAATGGAGCGGCTATTGCAGCCTTACGACTTCGAGCTGCTGCAGGACATGAGGCCCCTTTTGGAGAAATACTGGTGAGACCTGGGGAAGGGGAGGTAGAGGACGGCTGTGAAACGGAGGCCACACTGTCTACCTGCAATGATTTTCTTAAATAGCTTTCCGCATTCTGGTTGTCGAAGGTGCGAGTAGTGTGGCGCTGAAAGAGACTGTATCTGGAAGAAAGAAAGGCAGAAATGAGTGGGTGGAGAGAGGAAAGTGGGAGGAGACAAAAACCAAAGGTTAAGAGTGTAGTGAGAACTGGTCGCTGAGGAATGGGGTTGATTTGAACTCCTGCTCCTGCCTACCTTATAGAGGACTCTTTTCTGTCCTCTGTGGCAGACGGTCCTTCACATTTATCACTTTGTTCCCAAATGCTTCAGCATCCTGCTGTGAAGGAGGCAAAACCGGGTTGCTCTTCAGATATTTCCTCCTGTTCTCTGGCTTTGCCTTCAAGTTCCTCAGAGTGTGCATTGACTTCGTTGCCAGTTCATCATAACTCAGCCGGGAAAAGCTATTGCCACTTTCTTACAACCCCGGCTCTGGGTTGCTTCCAGTCACAGGCCTAATCCCAACCTCAACCCCACAGAGACAGCAGTAATCTCACATACTTTGGACAGAGTTCTTGTCCTAACTTTATATACATTAACACTGCCAGGAGAGGAGAATTAGTTCCCTTTTACAAATAAGGAAACTGATGTTTAGTGGAGGAAGCAGTTTTCCCAAGGTCACACAGCTAGTACCAGCTGGGACTCCAGAACACTTACCTGGGAAGATGAGTGGGCATTTCTCTAACTAGCACCAACTCATGAACCCATGCCCCTCTGGCTTCTGCCTGCTAGGTCAGTCTCATGCCCAGTAGTTGTGATCTACCTGCTGCTCATTTTTGTGGGGCAGAACTACATGAAGGCACGGAAGGGCTTCAACCTGCAGAGGCCTCTCATCCTTTGGTCTTTCAGCCTTGCCATCTTCAGGTAAGATGCCCCCGCCCTGCCTCACCTCCCCCACACCTGCTTATCTGTAGATGTCAGACCCTCATTCGATTCCTTAAAGCTTTCTAGAAGCCTCAATTGCATCAACTCTCAAGTTGCCCTACAACTGTCTTCCTATCCTATTATCTCAGCTCTAACCCACCTTCCCTATTTCCATCTTCTACCGCTATTATCCTGCTTTTCTTCTTTCCCATGCTGGCAGTCTCTACTCTAGTGAGTTCTCTTGTGCTCAAGGAATCTGTGTACTTCCAACAAATTTCCTTACACTTAATACTCCCCGTGCCAAACAACCTCTCCCAAGACCTTCTAATAACTTCCTATTCTCTGACTCAAGTTTCCCATCCTCCTGTGTTTCCTGGTCTTTCTCCATCCTCTTTTCCTCTACACTGCTGGTTGGATTGACCCTAGGGTCTCAGAAGTTGTGATTCATCTCCCCCACCCCCCCCAAAATGGGGAAGGGGAGGAGCTTGGGACAGTGACCTGACCAGGTTGAAAGGATGGGATGAGTCTTACACACTTTTCCTTTTGTTCCATTTCAGTATCCTGGCGACAGTAAGGACATGGGGCTTTATGTGGCTCCTGATACATATGGAGGGCCCAGAGCAATCTGTGTGCTTCTCTGTCTTCGCCGAGAATTCCATAATCAGATTCTGGTCTAGCCTCTTTGTTCTCAGCAAGATCATTGAACTTGGTGAGTGGCAAGGCTTTGTTTATTTGCTGCAGGGTGAACTGCATCTCTCCTCAGAGCCCCTCCACTCACCCACCACATGGATAATCCTATCACCGCTGGGTCCTAATAGCACCTTTCACCCAAGCCCCTTGGGTGAGATTCTCTGCCACAAAGACCCCTCTTCCCACCCTGAGAATCCCCCACTTCCTCCACATCCAGTATGAAGGGTGATCCCAACACTGGATGGTGTGCTAGCTGTGACTCTCTATCTTCCAGGAGACACAGCCTTCATCATCCTCCGTAAGCGGCCTCTCATCTTTGTGCACTGGTACCACCACAGCACAGTACTATTGTACACCAGCTTTGCATTCAAGAGCAAGATGCCTGCTGGTGGCTGTTTCATGACCATGAACTATGGCGTGCATGCCATCATGTATACCTACTACACTCTCAGGGCTGCCAAAGTGAACTGCCCCCAGAAATTTCCCATGTTTATCACCAGCCTGCAGATCCTGCAGATGGTCGTGGGAGTCATTACTAGCATCCTGGCTTACCTCTGGAGAGACAAACAGGGATGCCACACCACAGAGAAAGATGTCTTCTGGTCCTTCATTTTGTATGCAACCTATTTTGTCCTCTTTGCCCACTTCTTCATCAGAACATACATAAAGCCCAAGAACAGAGCCAAGACCAAGAGTCAGTGAAGGGTTGGAAGAAAAGGCGCCCTGGGCTCTTTCCTCCCCAGGGCCGGAAAGGGCTGAGCCTGGGTTTGGGAGAATGACTAGAGTGCCTCCCTGCATGGCTTCCCCACCGGATGTGTGCCCCAAGATGGCAGGAAATTATGACAGAGAAGAAGCAACATCTCTGGGATGAGCATGTGATCTAGTATTTAGATGTTACTGCTTTTAATGTGAGGGCCCAGGGTGGACTGAGAGGGATCCCCAGAGCCGAGTTATTTATATTTCTATCCAGAAGTCTTCCTTCTTCTTGCTCTATTTTTTAAATTAAAGATTACAACAATATTTTTGAACTTTTGAGGGTGGGAGAAGAAGAGGACTGCTATGACGGGAAAGGACTGCTTGCAGTGGGATGAGGAGTGCTGAGAGACTGCAGAGGGTGTGTGGAAGGATGAGAAGCACACACACAGACACTCAATAAGAATCCTAGGCCTGGTAGGCACTTCATAAATGTCTTTTACAGACCAGAATTTTATTGCTGTTAGAGGACCAAGCCCCTCATAGGAACAGTGAGAAACAGATGTAGAAAGGCGGAGTGACTCATCTAAGGTCGCAGGCTTCCTTGCTCGTGAGACTAGATCTTCTGCTTTTCCTCCCTGAGACCACGAGGTGGCACCGCAGCACCAGCTTTGGCCGACGCCACCGAGTAGCTAGTAGCCTTGCCGGAAGCAAAAAACGCACCCTCACGTGCGCCCCTTAACTCCAGCAATCCCCGGACTCCCTCATTCTGGTGTTGCGGGAGTTGGGGGGGACTGAAGTTCTAGAAGCCTGAACCCGCACCTCTTCCCAGTCCATGTACATCCAACTCTCCTTGAGTCATGGGAGAGGCTGAGGGAGAGGCTCAACCGCAACTCTGAATCATCAGGCCTTTGACAGTCCGCGCACGTTTATTTCATTTATCTTTGAAAACGGGGGAGAGGGAATCTGGAGAAGGCGGGGTAGGCCAAGGGTGAGTTGGCCCCCGGGGAGCTGGTCCCTGTTCCTGGCCTTAGTTAGTCGCAGGGGGGCGGACTGTGTTTTGCGCCCAGTCCCCTCCCTCAGGGCCGGGAGCGGGGAGGCTGTCTCCTGAGCCCGCTCCAGCCCGCGCCTGCCCCCGCGCCCCTCCCGGACCCTGGGTCGGGGGCAAGCCATTCCAGAAGACCCCAGTCCGGGGAGGCTGTGAACTGTCGCCCCCGCCCTCGGGGATGGTCGACGGGCGGGGCTGCTCATACCGGCCGCTCCACGGCGTACTGACACGGACTGAGGTTGGCGGCCGGGGGCGGCCCGGGCACCGCGGGGTAGCTAAAGGAGGCGTGCTGCTTGGCCTTGAGCCTCAGGCTGGCCAAACTCGAGTTACACGGGTCCCGATATACGTAGGGGGCGGAGGCGGCTGCTGCTGCTGCTGCGGCGGCGGAGGCGTAAGGGCACGACACGGTCCCGGAGGACACCGCGGCCGGAGCCAGCCCGGGGGGCGCTCCGCCCAGGCCCTGCAGGGCCCCCGGCCCGGGCACGGTGCCCGGGGCAGCCGCAGCCGAGGGCACCATGGACGCGGCGATGGAGCTGGGCGGCGAGAAGACGGGCTGTGAAGCCAGGGGCCCCACGTTGACCGAATTGAAGGCGAACGGGAAGGTCTTGGCGGCGAGCGGTGGGCCCAGGGCCTTGGGTGGCCAGTTGCCGTACGAGTACCCGGGGTACACCTCCTCGTAGGGCGGCACCAGCCCCCCGAGCGGCGCTGCGAAGCCGCCCTTGCACAGCTCGGCCTGTTGGCTGCGCTCGCGCTTTCGCCACTTGGCGCGCCGGTTCTTGAACCACACCTGCGGGCGCGGGAGAAAGGCTGTCAGGGCCCAGCGTGGGGGTGGGGTGGGGGTCAGGGCCCGGTCAGGGTGACGGGGGGTGGGCCACCCGGCCCCAGCCCGGGCCCCGCGGGAGAGCCCCAAGATGAGGCGTCCGGAGACGCGAATGCGCGCAGCCGGGAGCGGCGGGCGGGGGAAGACGCGCAGGCGGGGAACTGACGCGGGGGCGGCGGGATGGCGCCAGTGGTGTCAGGGTGTGGGGGGACACAGTAGGACGGGGTCGGGGGGGGGCAGAGAGGCAATGTCAGGGGCGTAGAAAGGCGGCCTAGAGTGATAGGGGCAGAAGGTGGAGGTTGGTGGAAAGTTGGCCACGCGGGACTTTGGGTGTTGGGTCCGGGTGTTGGGCGAGCAAGGCAAAGCCCCAGGCTGCTAGCTCCTCAGACACTCGCCGAGCGATCCGCGGGAGGGAGGCTCGGGTGGGGTGCGGGGGCGGGCCTGGGACGGTCGTACCCGCACGCGGGCCTCGGTGAGGTTGGTCCACACGGCGATCTCTTCCCGGGTGCTCATGTCGGGGTAGCGGTTCCTCTGGAAGGTCGCCTCCAGCTCCTGCAGCTGCTGGCTGGTGAAGTGGGTGCGCTGACGCCGCTGCTTCTTTTTCAGGGAGCCATCCTCCGGGGAGCCACCCGGCAGCGAAGCCGAGGCCTTCTCCGAGTCTGGGGGCCCGGGTAGGCACAGGTAACAGGGCGCCCAGTCCCGAGCGAATTCTTCTTCACCGATCCCTCACTCTCACCCCGGCTTCCGCTCCCGGTGCCACCCACAATAGGAATTGAGCTTATCTTCACCACCACCACCCCAGAAGGGAGCAAACTCACCGCTGTGCTCTTGGCCCTTGCAGCCGTGTTCTGGAAGAGGGGGGTGGGGAGTGCCCCCATCTGATAAGGAGAGGGCAGGGCTGCGGGCCTCCGCCTCGCTGAGCAGGCCGAACTCCATGGAGGAAGGCCTTAGGAGGGAAGAGAAGACACAGACCAAGTCAATGGGAATAGAAATCTCAGGATTAGCCTGTTCCCAGGAGTGTTTCTCCACAAGATCACTGCACCTTTCTTAATCGTGGCTATAAAGCTACCCCTGGGCCTCCCTGGTGGCGCAAGGGACAGCACAAGTTGGATCCCTATCCTGGGCCAGGGAATTAACCCACATGGGACAGGAGACCTCTCCTATCTCTCCTGCTGTTCCCCATCGGCAGTGTATTTCAGTAGATCTGCCTGTTCTGCTCCCCAATCTGTCTCTCTCACACACACCCCACCTCTGGCCTACACCCCAGCTCTTTCATGCATAAATAAATAAAATTTAAAAAAAGTAAAGCTACCCCTGTGTGGGGTACCCTTGGATAGAATAGGGAAACAACAGCCTAAGGAGGAAAAGGTGTATACTCATAGGTTTATGTGCACATGTGTGTTTTTTTTTTTTTTTTTACTGTTAGGTACCTACACCTGTGTCTGATGAACAGCTGATGTTCAATGGATATTTATTGAATTTATGAAAACCACACTGTTGCAGACTACATCCCTTATACCAAATTCTCAAAAACGTCAATTCCTTTCACATGAATGCCCAATATCCTAATAAACTCATAGTTACCCTTCAACTAAACACACCTGAGACACAGCCCCAATTTATTATTCATGTTCCTTAGGACATATTTGATTTTTGAACCAGGAATAATATTTTTCTCATAAGGCTAGTCATTGTTATCAGTTATTAGTGCTCACATGTCCCTTCACCTCATTATTGCTCCCATCACAAGAATGCATCAAAATAAAGTCTCTCTGGTGGTGCAAGGGGTTAAGTCTCAGCACTGTGTAGCTATCGGCAGTCACTGCAGCACAAGTTCAATCCCCGGCCAGGGAGCTACCCACAAGGCACAGAAGACCTCTTCTGTCTCACCTGCTGTTCCCCTCAGCAGTGTGTTTCAGTCAGTCAATCTGCCTGTTCTGCTCCCCACTCTGTCTCTGGTGAATCCTCTAACACACACCCCCCAATACCGCTATCCTACACCCCAGCTCTTGTATGCATAAATAAACCTAAAGAAAGAAAAGAAAAAAAAATAAGTGTTATCACCCCTTTTCAGATGAGGAAACTGAGACTTGAAGTAAATTAATTAAGGTAACAGATCTTGTAAGCCCTGGAATTTGAACCAGGTCTGTCTAACTGAGGGCTAGCTGCAGGGATAGAACTCTAGATAGGTCTTACTTGGGTCAGCTTCAGCTAGGGCAGCCCTGCTTTTTTCTGTTTTCTTTATGCTTTCTGGAGAGATCTCATTTGAAGAAAGCATTCCAGGATAAAAACAAGTTTGAGGGCCTTCCCGGTGGCGCAGTGGTTGAGTGCTGGGTTGCAAAGCTGCCTGCAGCCTCTGCAGCGCCTGTTCGATCCCCGGCTGCTCCCCTGACACCGGAGGAGGGTCCCACATGGTGTGCACACCTCTCCTGCCGCCCGCTGCTCCCCTCAGCAGTGTGCTTCGGTCCTTCTGCCTGCTCTGCTCCCAGCTCTGACTCTGGTGAATTCTCTCACCCTCCCGCGCTTCTGACTGCACCCAGTGTTTGTATAAATAAATAAAAAAATAAATAAATCTTTAAAAAAAAAAAAAAACAACCAAGTTTGAAATCACTCGGCATTCAGGCCCTGCCTGCTTCTATGCACGTCCAGACACACATCACCTTTCACCACTCATTGCTCCACTATCATACAGGCACCCATCAAGGATCAGCCCTGGCAGCTGATGTGAACTTTTTAAAACCATCTTGCTACCTTTACTCCATATTCTAAATGTCACCTGACATTGCCCAGGAGCCTGCTTGGGTCTCTCTTCAGGCCTCCCCTTTCCTGTTGGCTGTCCCAAGCCCCCTCTGAGGTAGGGTAGGAAGTACAGAAAGGGCATTCGTGGGATTCAAGAATTCTGGATGCCCCTTGGTTAGAGGAGGGGAGGGACAGAGGAACAGGGGTTAAGAGCTGGGTGGGAGGGGCCCATCTGCCTCCACCATCTCTTCCCCATTAGCAGAGACTTAATGCTTGCCATGTGGGGTGGCATTAATGTAGCGGATTAGCCTAGATTGAGATGTGTGTCACTTGGCTGCTCTGAATTTATTAGGAGCCTTTCTCAGGGAGGCACAGATGAGTAATGGCCTGTATTTGCTCATGGTAATGCCCCCTTCAACTAGCTCAGAGATGACAGCTGCCCCCCCCCAGCAAAGTGAGATTGGGGGTGGGACAGAGTGGATATAGGAGGTTGAGACACAGTCCTTATTCTTTCCACAGGCAGAGGGGACTAGACCTTGAACCTTTTCCTAGGGTTGAGAAACAGGGTTAAAGGGAACCAGAGAAGGAAGGGAAGAAGTCAGGTCAGAGGGGTCAGCTTACCTCTCCTTCCAGGTCTGAGGTCAGATATAGGGCTGGCCCAATAATGCTCCAATAGAAGGCAGGAGCCCTTGGGAGGGACCTGAGGCAACCTGGATAGAAGCTCTTCCCGAATAGATGAGAAGGCTTAGAATTGAAAGCTGGAAAGGGGTGCTCTGAAGTCTCCTCTTAATTCATACCCAAAATACCCTCAAAATGCAAACCATGTCCCTGATTTCTCCAGAGGCCACAGGAACAACATAGACCTGGGAAAAGAAGAACAGCTGGGTTTGCTTGTGGAGAAAGCAAAATCCCACCATTTCCATTCATCCTTCC